TCTTCATTAAAAAGAGATAATCAGCAACTATTAAAGATCATTGAGTAAACTTATCCTTGATAGAATCAGATGAAGGAAAATGAAAAACTGAATTACTTTCTATGTAAAAATATTCCAGTATGCCTCCTTGGGGAAACATAAGAACAATATGCCTAAGTATATTATGAATTCTATCCCTTATGGTTAATGATAAAAATAGCACAAGGTTCATGTGAGGGTATCCAGGCACTGTGGTAACTTCTATACATCCTCACCCAATTTCAATGCTCCTGATAACTATAGGTAACTAACTATAACTAATGCTCACAGTAACTATTGGTATCATTAGCTCCATGCCACAGATGAAGAAATGGAGGCCTAGTTGGCGAACTCAAGGTTACATAGAATGAAAAACCGAATTACTTTCTCACTATGTAAAAATATTCCCATGTCTCCTTGAGAAAACAGCAGAACAATATGCATAAATATATTATGGACTAGGGGTTATTTCATGAGCCACAGATGCACAGATTCCATACTTCATCCCCGCCCCCAAAAAAAGTCCTCCTGACAGACAGCCACACAGGAGCCATATGGAATCACCTTGGTCTGGTCCGGCCAGAGTTGTCTTGGCTGCAGCTCCTGGGGACTGCCTAAAGGAGGCCCCTGAGCTCCCTGCAAATCCGCTTAGGGAGAAGGGCCTAGCATGAAAACAGCTACATATAATCCCTTCCTGGACCCCAGAAGACAGCTCTGCAACAATTCAGGTACCCGAATTGTTGAATTCAATTATTACCAGAGCCCAGATAATCCTTTTATGAGCCCCAAGCAGAACTGTATAATGTAATTTTGCTAGGACAGAGTCATAAGAAAACAAAATTCTTTCAGGTTCCTGACACAGTTGGTTCTACATGGCAGAGTGCAAAAGTACAGATGCCTTGGACAAAACCATAGGAGAAACAGGGTGTGATACGGCCAAACTAAAACTGGGGAGGGACGCTCCTGCTCTTCAGACTAGATGCTGGCAGAACACCAACACCTCCATCCCCGATATGAAGGTGACAAGGGCTGGCTTTGATGGAGAAACTTACAGCTTAGCTGGGAGACAAGAAATGTGCATCAGAAGTGGACAACAAACCCAGATCAGTGCTGGAAGAGGTAAGGACCAGACAGAGACAGGAGCAGCAGGGAGGGGCATGGAGGTGGGAAGTGGAGAAGGCATCCTGGCAGGGACCTGAGCAGGGCCAGAGGTTTAGGCGGCAGGAAAAGGTTCCTGTGGGCACAGAAAACCCAAGAAAACTTTTTTTGACTAGATGAGAAGATGAGTCCAGGGAAATAAGAATCCAAACAGAGCAGGTCTGAGAGGGGCAGCAAGGTAAGAGAAAGCCCCTGAATGCTGATATCAGAACATACAGTTCATATGCATGAACTATGTAAACACATAGGGCTCTTAGCAAGTATTGCTGGTGAATGGGACGGAGCTTACTGTTTTTCAGTCCCAAGCCATCTGCTTTCTCTTGGACAGCAGTCTTCCTGGTTGCCAATGACTGAACCCTCTGTCCAGGAGGAGGGATTCAAAGAGCTCTGTCCAGTTCTGTTCTCAACCTTTCTGTCCCAGGGTTAAAAATATGTAATAATCACACACAGTCTGGTGCTTAATGCAGAACTGAATTCTTATATAGGGGTAAATACTTAAAAATAAAATAATACTTAATGCCCTGACAAGTTTACTTGCAAGAATTAGTTTTACATTTTATAGTATCATAAAAAGTAAACTGACTTTTCCTTGTAAAACTAAAAAGATGAGTGAATCCTCTTATAAAACTTCTTCAAAAAGATTCCACTCCTGCCTAAGCTCAAATGATGGGATCATTTACAGAAAATCCAGTGAAGTTAGTCAGAGATACCAAATACCCTGGAACATGAGTTATCTGAGGTTACTCTGTGATCAGGACGGCCAGGCAAGGACTCAAACTGGTACCAGGCATTTCAGGAGGTGGTAAGTACACTTGTGGTTTTGTGGTTTTCAACTGTACTGTCAGCCTGGATAACTCTCTGTGGTCAGGGACCATCTGGTGACAGCGTGCAGTCTGCCTCAGCAGAATCAGGAAAGTCTGCACCTCCCAGAGATGCACTCCCTGTCGAAATCCCACTGCTGTGGCTGCTCCCATCCTTTCAGGACCCTGACCAAAGACCCTGACCAGGCATATTTTCCAACTGATGAGCAATAACGCTCCAGCTGGTTTAATTTGTGATTCGGAAGGAAAAGGCACAAAGAAAATACTTTCTATTTATCTATGTTTAATCCCAAACAGAAGCAAGTCAATGATATAATGTTAGTCACTTGTGTCCTTCTGGCCTATAACATCTATGGATCCCATCCATATTTTTCTCAAAGCTCTTCTTCAAAGCACCCAGCCTGTGCCTAGCTGCCTGGCTCACCGCAGGCATTCAGTAATTATTCGCTCACTTGAACAAAATGATAGTGGTGTGTAAGGGAAAGCTCCCAGGGAGAGATCTTTTCTCACAGGAGCTAAAAATCCACTGCCCATAACTGGGGAGAGTGAGGGTCTGGCCTCAGGCAACCATGCTAGCTAGCACTGGCAAAAAGCCAGAAACAAACAGTGTGCTCAGAGCTGGCTAAATACAGTGACAGGTGGACTGTGGAGGATCACAGAGGGAGACAAGGCCTCAGAGCTGGAAGAGGGGCTGAAAAACAGGGCAGAAAAGTTTGGAGGAGCACAACTGCCCCACAGAATGCCACTGCATCACTCTGCTGCTGGAGCTACAGGTGGATCCACCAGCACCCTCTTCTCTGTCAGTATCTTGGGCAGAAATGTAGGAACTTCAAGGGCCACTTCTCAGTGTCTCTCAGATGTAGACATAATATCAAGACAAATCAGGTCTGGATTTTTCAGATGTGAATCCTTTCTAGGTCTGGTATCTAACATCACATGGTCACATTCCTCTGCTCCTCTAGGAGAAGATGAAGTTACTAAACACTGACCTAATCCTGACAATTCATAAACAGAGGAAGAACCCCAACAGTGCAGAGACATGTGAATAACAAAGACTCAGCAGCTACCCTCATGAGGGCAACACTGGTCCAAGACCCACAAGGAGGCACAATGAAGACCTGACCTCAGGACCTATGCAGATTCTACGGTTCACTCCCCAGCAATGCTACCTGGCAGGATTACTTCAGGTGACAAGACAAGATGGAGAAACCTCACTCAAAGTGTCCATCCAACTTCAGAGCCCTGATTGCTTTCCTGCCACTAGGGCTAGTCAGAAGTATCTCTTCCTGCTCCCATCCTGCCCGTGCCCCTTGGAGGCCTACAGGGCCACTCAAACCCGTTCACCCAAAAGACCACGAAATGATTTTTCCAACACTGAGTGCTGTGCAGGATCCTTCAATGATTTCCCCTCCACTCCCTACTAGATAAACTCTCAATTTCTCATTTCTGCCCCCTTGCTGACCTCTGCAGCCTCATCTTCCACTGCTGCCCCCACAGATCCCCAAAGAGACGGGTTCTTCTTTCTACCATTTCATCCTAAAAACTACTCTTCCCCTTTCAAGGCCCCCATTTAGCCGGCTGAAATCCTCCACAGCAGACAATGGCCAAGGCCTGGAAAGCCTGGGCCTTCACCACAAATAGCCAGTAGATTAAAAGACAGACTGCTGAGTGATAGCGAGCGCTGAGGCCATAGGTTCTGGATCCTCCAGGCTGCCTCAACACCAGGACTAGAGAGGAGGCCTAGAAATGCAAATATCCAACTAATATCCACTGCTCTTGCCTAGGGCTAGTGGTAGGGTATATTCCTTAATCAAAATAGAGGCCTCTCTCCAGGAAACCCATGAACTTGGAAAATCCCAGCTGGCATGTAAACTAGTAGTCCCAGTAGTTTCGCCTACCTCTCGTTCTCTGAATGTCCTAAATCCTCAATGAAGACTAGACACTTGCTTCCGAGTCCCATCAAGGGTCGAGGGTTCCCAAATTCCCAGCACCTCGAGGGGTGACCAAAGAGGCACCGTCTAGCTCACGGGCCTCAGGGCAGTCCATTTTCTACGAAAAGAACTGAACAGACTCAGAATGCGGAATATCTATCTCTTAGTGCTCGAGAGTTTTCCTGTAGTAATCTTTACCTAGCAGGACAAGGAGACCCCGCCCCGCAAGAGGCAGGCAGGCAGGCAGGCAGGCAGGCAGGCAAGGATTCCCTCCTCCCTTGCCTGAGCCTTCAACATCCCCCTCGCCCGACCCGAAGCGCCGGACCGCGACCCACAGCCTCCTCTCCACCCCCCCAGGCTAGGCCGCCCGCAAACCCACGAGGCCACTCAACCCAAGAGCGACGATCCAGCCAACCCCCAATTCTGAGCTCCGGGGGCCCCAGACCCACTGACCCGTCCTAGAGCCGCGGGGATCAGAGGGCACATTCTTCGCCACCCCACCCCACCCCGGAAAGGAGGAGCAGAACGACTCCGGTTGCGGACGGGATCAGGAGAGCGCGGGCTGGGCGATGCACCCGGCTAGGGGCCGGGGTTTTGGGGGAAGCCAGGGGAGCACCAGCCGCGCCTGGAGCGCCAGCGGCGGGGAGGAAAGAGCCCCTCCCCCTTCCCACTCGCGGCCCCGCCCGGCCTCTGGGCCCCGAGGCGCAGCCGTCCGGAGGGAGGAGAGGCGCGGGAGCAGACAGGAGAGAGGAACTTACTTAAAGGCTACATAGTTTCACTCCCTACCCTTCCCCGAGCGGCGGCGACACCTCCCGGCCCTTGGGCTCCGACTTCTGTGCCCACCGCCCCAGCGCCGCAGCTTCACTCCACCGCCCACCCTTTTACTCCGCCGTTGGGCGGAGCCGCACCTCCAGGTTAGCCCAATGAGCGGCCGTGCTTATCCAGAGTGACGTACGAGCAGAGCAACCATTGAGTCCGTCCAGCCGGGGGAGGGGCTCCGGCAGAGCAAAGCACTTCCTACACCGGCTGGACAAGCCCAGAACCGCCGACTGCGCGTGCCCGGAACGGGAGGGGGCGGGGCCGAAAGCCCATTTGACACTAGGGAAAGGGTCCAAGCTCCGTCTCTGGAAAGCGGGCTTAATCGGGATGGGGAGACTTGGGAGCCATCCTACCCTGTGGATCGCCCTTTATTGCTAGCTTTGGAGAATGGAGGTGCCCAGGCCTACGAGGCACACCACTCCTGTTGCTGATAGGGTCTGGGAGTCCGGGTCCCTAGGTTCTAGTCCCTTCACTATCGAGTGACCTAGGTCCCCCCCCCCTTTTTTTTTTAACCCGGGCCTCAGTTTCCCAATCCGTGAAATAGAGAAGGGTTAGATCTGCCGAGCGTTAATATTCCAGAACTTCAATGGGGTGCGGAGGAGGGGGAGATGGGGGACCTACACGTGACCTCCCCGCGCGGGGCTCCGCCTATCCCTTGTCCAGGGATGGAAGCGCCCTGTAAGGACGGGCGGGGGTGGGTGGATCCTAAGAAACACGACCCGGCCGCCCTTGGCTGCGGCTAAGGCGGAGCGCGCAGCTCGGCAGCGGGCTAGCCCTGGAGACAGCACGAAAAGATGGGACCGCAACCCGGGCTTCGCAGGGGGCCACCGTGGAGACCAGGGCGGTGCAGAGACTAGACCTGTGACTTGGAGCGTATCTGGGGAGGATGGACAAGGGGACGGGAGGCAGCTAACAGGACTCTCTCTCCGCGCCCGCTACTCAGAGGCGCACGTCGCAGGTCCCAAGCGGGATCCATCGACAGCACGGCAGCACCGAGCTAGTCTTGGACCATGAGGAGCACTCTGGCGGTCCGGCCCGGGGCCGCCGGTAGGGCTGGCCGCGTCCTGCCGCGCTGAAGGCGTAAAACTGACAGGGGCGCACGCGACCCGGCTGCGCGGGAGCGCACCGCCATGGCGAAGGAAGAGTGCAAGGCTTTGCTGGATGCGCTCAACAAGGCGACCGCATGCTACCACCACCTGGTGCTAACCGTCGGAGGCTCCGCGGACTCACAGAACCTGCGTGAGGAGCTGCAGAAAACGCGCCATAAGGCGCAGGAGCTGGCGGTGGCCACCGGCGCCCAGCTGACCACCGCTCTGCGAGACCGGGGCATGGGCACCGAGGAGCGCGCTGAGTTCGAGCGCCTCTGGGTGGCCTTCTCCGGCTGCCTGGACCTGCTAGAAGCCGACATGCGGCGCGCGCTGGCGCTTGGCACCGCGTTCCCACTGCACACGCCTCGACGGCCGCTCGTGCGCACAGGTGTAACTGGCGGTGCAGCGGGCGTAGCCGCGCGCGCCTTGAGCGCCCGCAGCTTGCGGCACGAGGCAGAATGCGACTTCGATGTAAACGACCTGCGAGAGCTGGAGCGGGAGATCCTTCAAGTGGGCAAGATGAGCCACGACATGGAGATGAAGGTCAACGTGCCCCGCTGGACAGTACAGGCCCGGCAGGCGGCGGGCGCCGAGCTCCCGTCCAGCGTTGGCGCCTCTTCAGCGGGCTTTGTGTCCATAGAAGAGCGGACAGCGCCCTGCGACCTGAGCAAGGCCATCGCCGCCACCCTTTTCAGCGCCGTGCTGCTGGCGGCTGTAGCCCTGGCGGTGTGCGTGGCAAAGCTCAGCTGACTGACGACACCCGATGGCCCCTAGGCACCACTGTTCCTTCCGCAGAGACATCCCTCCCAGAATGACCGCTACTGCCAGGACTCAGATGGGAGTGGGATCTGGCATGTATAAGGGGAGAGGTTCTAAAACCCCGTGTGTGTACACGCGCGTTTCAGGCAAACATCTGCCTAGGCGGAACGCGGTTTCCTCTTGCTGGCCTGGGAGGAGTTAATTTTGTGCGGGCCGCCAGGGCATTACCACTAATGTATGCAGGAGCTTTATCCTCTATTAATAGAAAACCGTCCACAGTGCCCCCAGATTCCTCTAAGTTAATGAGTTTCCGCGTGTGCTGCTGGGGCGTGTTTACACTAGAGACTCCCATGGGGCAGTTTGAAAAAGGGGATGAGGTGAAATGAAATGTGGAGAGGGGGCCTGTTTTGTTGTGGTGGGGGGTTCTTCCTGGACAGGAGACAGATTGCAACAAGCTGTAAGCAGTTTTTATTACCTTAATCCTTTGGGGCCTAAGCTTAGAGTGCAAAAAGAAGTTCATGCAAAGTGCTTTCTCTACTGCGCACGATTGCACTTCTTGGCAGAGCTTATCCGTGAGTCAACAAAAGCAGCTAGAGAGGGTCTGACTTTGCTTGTAAAACCAGAGAAGCACGGTAGAAGCCGCCCTCCACTGCACACACTGCCTATTTAAAAAGACACTCCCCAGCCAACTTGGGAAGGGTATAAGCTTCAGGATAGGCCACATGCTGTTTAAATAAGGACTTTCTCCTTCGCTGGGGCTTATTTTTGTTCCAGAACTAGACCAGAGTTTTTGATCCTCCTTTAGGGGAGGGCTGGGGAATCCTCTTTGAAGCCCTTAATCCTATCTATCCCTTGGAATTTGCTTGCTGGCCAGTAGGAGAGCTGGCTTTGGAAGGAGATGCACATCTCTCTGACCCCGACACTGCCTCCCCCCCCCTCCACTGGGTATAGTGGCATCACTGGCACAGAGAGGTTTTGAGCCAATTAATCCTGAGACTGGGTTAGAATGTAGCAGCTTTAACTTGGAATTTAAGAAGCTTTTTAAAAATAACAATCATTTGAAAGTCACATAACCATATTGTGTACTATCAAAACTGTTTTCTTTATAAAGGGCATTTGGTCACGAATTTATACCTGACAATGAGTCAAACATAGCAGTCTTATTTGTAAATATACATCTGAATCTATTTTTAAAATCTATCTTCTTGAAGGCAGGAGGTCATAGCAAAAACTGCTGGAACCACAGGTGTAGATGACATAAGTTAAGTGGGTGCTGCTTCTTTCGGTTAATAAATAAGGAAATGTGGAAAACACTCCAGGTCTCAAGCTGGAATTTGCCTGAGGAGTGCTGCTACCTCCTACCTGTGGTCCAGAGAGAGCATCTGTTGAGAAACGAGATGCATTTAACTCTCTAAAGGTAATAATTTGGAATAAAACTCAAAGGCTTTGATTTGACTGAAAACTGACGAGATTTTTTTTTTTTTTTTTAATTCCGGAAATGAGAAAGGGGACTAGGAGGAAAGCATTGGCAGTTTTTCAAAAGGCAACTTGGAGGGCAAAGGGGCAAAGGCAAATAGCAGGAGTGCTGTCTGGGCATCCACTCCTACAAGCCACCCTCCCAGCTCACTCTCACTCCTCAGCACACAGGTTCCAGCACCTCAGAATATGAGATGTTTGCATGTGTCTGCGATAATGGTTTTAAAAGACCCGCAGGTCTTAAGCCAATGAAATAACTAATTAAAAACTAATTAAATAACTAATTAAAAACTCTTTCTGCCTCTCCCAGTCAGGGGTGAAACTGAACAATAACTAATTAAAAACTCTTTCTGCCTCTCCCAGTCAGGGGTGAAACTGAACAGGGGCCAATGTCAAATTCTTTTGCACCAGACTGTCCAAAGTACCTTCAGAGATGACACAGAAAGTTTTCTAAATTCTCCTCCTTTCTCCTCCCACACACAATAACACATGGAATCTCCACCACCTTCCCCAAAATGCCCCAGCCTCATCTCAGGCAAGAGGAGGCTGGGGCATTTTGTGACCCAATGTTGGAAAATATCCCTAAAAACCAAGCCCTGAATAGAATTTCCTCTTTTTAAGACTGACTCTCTGTTCTTATCAAGGTGTTTTGGTTCATGAAAAAATAAATTGTTCGGCAGAACCTGTTAAGGAAACAACCTATCAGAAATCATGTAATCCACAGAGAACATTTGGGACAAGCAAACTTAATTGTTGTCATTCCATCCTCTTGGCAGATCCTTGAGTATTATATGTGCAATCTGATTCTAAGAGTCCTCTGCTCACTGAAATTAGCAATAAAATGTTGCAAAAAAAAAAAAAAAACAACTGAATTAGAATAAACATCCTGTGAACCTGTTAACCTAAACAACTCTGAGTTTGAAAATTTTAGACATTTGGAACATTTGGCATTATTTGGAGTTATTACCGCCTACTAGAACTTTTGCAATATGATGCAAGCAAAATTGCTTTCTGCTTGAGCAATAGGCTGTACGTAATTCAAGAGATCGCTTTTTGATAGAAGACTGGTTCAATTTAGGTGTTTGATATCAAAGTTATTAATTTTCTAAAAACATTTGGTATACTGTTATACCATGATACGAGTGATAGAAAAAAATCAAAATGTTTAATATAGGATATACATGAAGAAGTCAATGTCAAAGGCTATGGCAGAGAACATCTACTTTCCTAAATTAAAGGTACAAGTTAAAGGATAGATCTTTACTTCCAAAGTAAAACACTATCTTAAGTCTCTTGTGAAATTAAATACCTATGACATCCCTGGCTTCTCTTTTGGGAAAACAATATTGCTCTCTGACAAAACAAGAACTTGGAACGTTAAGGCACTTATCATGAGAACTTTGAACTTATCATGAGAACTTTGAGCTATTAAAAACAGTTAAAGCAAACAAACAAATACAAAAATCTAATCATGTTTGTAGGAGAAAAATGCCTACTGGAAAATTCTTTTTATGTGCTGTAAGAATTTCAAATGCCACAAGGGAAAATATTTTTTGGTAAATAAAATTAGAGCATAAGCTTCATGATTTACCTAAGGTTTACAGTAAGCTGCGTAAGAGATGTGTGATGTCGAATGACTAAAAAGTAGATTTGGTTGAAAAGAGTTCTAGTTTGCATGAAGTTCCTGATAAGGCTGCATTTTCCTTTTCAATGTGCACATTGATATGTTTTTAGCTACTTGGTTGCTTTTCAGAATGTAGTTCTCTGTTCTATATTGAATGCTTGTTAAGAGAGTGAGCCCCAGAGTGTGAGCCTATATGTCTGAGAAATAAAGTGTTGTAGGCCTGGCCTCTGCATTACTTTAGGGCGAGCCTCCTCTGGCAAGGCCTGACCAGCTACAATGTGTGGGGGCTCTGCCTCTCTCTCCAAGTACCTCAGACAAGTCATTGACCTCCCTGTGCCTCAATTCCCTCATTTGTGAAATGGGGGGAGGAGGTCCTGACTGATCAGCTCGAAGGTCCCTTTCAGAGCTTAAGACATTTAATAGAATGAAGTTAAACAAGAAAGTTATTTTGTTTGTGTGTGTGTGTGTGTGTGTGTGTGTGTGTGTGTGTGTGTGCATGTTGAAATGGAATCTTATAGTTTGGTGGTTATTGTCTAAAATCGGTTGGTAAAATTTCATATGAATTTTAAAAATCAGAATGAACCAAGCTTACTGTGATTTTAGTCTATATTAGAATTAGCAGATGGACTTGAAAGCAAATTTGTGTAAATGCTACTTATAGTATTTAAATTAGATTAGGAATTTAAATTCAGACTCTAAGTTCAAGAAAGCCTGGTATTTATTAAACAGTTTGTTGTACCCAGCAGTCAGACCACCTAAATTGATTCTGGGAAATTACAGATGTGAAAACCTGTTATTTGTCATGGAGCCTGGGAGAATCCTATTCTGCAAATAACCTGATACCCTCAGAACTATAACTACACTGGCTGCCTGATATCAGGGAACCTGAGTGCAGTGTGGTTGTTTTGTATGGGGCATCAGATCCAGGGTAGAATTAAAGACTTTGTGTCTACTGTTTGAATGATGCCTCTAACTAAAATGTTTATTAATACATAAAAAATTAAAGATAACATACAGCGTTTATAACTTAGGTGGAAAGGCACGCATAAGTGATTCAACTATCAACTATTGTGATTAAAAAAAAAAAATTCTTGGGAGCATTGTCAGTCTTGCTCGACGGCATATGTAATCCGTTTGGCTCAAATAAACTCTTATCAAAAAAATATTCTTAATCTTCTTCATATATACTTGAATTGAAGTGAAAGTCCTGATCAACACGATTACTCTTCACAGATTTAATTACATAAAGAGATGTACAGAAATACACCAGGACTATAAATCTCCAAGTGCTTTTCTACGACTATACTCTTTTAATGCAGGATAGAATCTGGGAAGAGTAGCAGGTCTCCACATGAATGATCATATTCAAATACCTTTTCTTTGGCTCTTAGGAACTGGGCAAAAGGGCAGGAACTGACCACATGCTGCGACCCTGTATCCATGAGGGCTAGATGGATTTCTGGAAAAGCATTCCTCTCTTACTTATTTTCTTCTCATTCCACAGAGGATTCTAGGTGTTTTCATTGTAGTACTATAAAATCTTGGGCATCCTTGTTTAGTGTGTAAGTTATAACCTTAAGGCTTATATGTCAAATGTAAATAAACCAAATGAGACCTCCTTTTGGCAAAATGATTTGAGAGTCCTTTTAACATGCTGTTGCCAGAAGGCAAATTTGAGCGTCCCCTGCTCGTATGTGTTAGGCATATAGAGATCTACAAGGAAATATACAGAAATGAAAATATTAAGGTGGTGGGATTATGAATGGTGTTTTTTCATTGTTTTTATTTAGTGTTATATTGTTTTTACAATAAAAATTTGAATGCACTTATCACCTAGAAAATTTTGTTATTAAAATATACATTTTAACAGTTAGGGTCTCAATTGTCATGAGAAACAACTTCAGGACCTTTCCCCCAAAAGCAAAGCAAAATGCTTTTGGAATCTTAACCCAGGGAATCAGAAGCAAGTTTTGAAATATAGTGTCAAGACAGAATAGCATAGAGATTAAAAGCATTGCCAAATTCGAAGCAGTTCCTTAATCTCTCTGACCTCAACTGCCTTATCTTTACAATGGGAGTAATAATAAGGTAAACTTCACAGGGATGTTGAGATAAGACATTTTCCAGGCACAGAGCTCAATAAATGTCAGCTCCCACTGCTGTTATTATTTATCATACTACTTTAAAAGTCTGAAAAATGAAATGGTTGGCAAAAGAACCAATATATGTGAAAACATTTTATTTTCCATAACTTAGGTAAAATCTGCTAAAAAATCAATTTGAAGATGAAAACTAGAAAAACTTGACAAATGAGAGAAGGTACATAATAAAAAGGTCAAGTTTACAAAGAGAAATTCAGGTTGACTTAGAAGTTGGAATTCGTACATTTGTAAAGTCAAATTTATTGAGTTATAATTTAAATACGGCACCATTCACCCTACTTAGGTATGCAGTTTTGATTTTTGACAAATGTATACAATCATGCAACCATCATCCAAGTCAAGATATAGAATGATTCCCTTACCCCCCAAAAGTTCCCCATATCCTTTCCTCCCACTTCAGGCTCTGGCAACCACTGATCTGATTTCTGTCTCTATACTTTTGCTTTTTCCAGAATGTCTCATAAATGGAATACATTTTTGAGAAATAATGTTGTGAACTTTTAAAAAACCTCAAAAACACTTTTTTCCAAGAAACATTTTGAGTAATCATTTTTTTGTGGTGATTTTTGGTACACAGGATGTTACTGGTCATTCACAGATGAATTTCATTTCATGGCAGTGATGGGCATTGGTTTCCAGGTGGGTGGAACAAACTCTCCTGTTACTGTTGTGTCTCCAAGCTGATGTCATCTCTCCATGGCTAGCCCTGCAGATTACGTTCTCTTCCTTTTTTCAACTGAAAAACCTGATAAACAATGGATAACATAAATGAATTTGGGCTTACTGAATGAGAGACTGAAACAAAAGCCCACTTGGAGCAGTAGATAAGAAGCCACAGGACATGTTTGCACCACTTTTTTCTTAGGATTATGCATGTGCTATAAACCAAATAAAGAAATTTGTTATTGTAAAGACAGCTGCGGACGACCAGCAGAACAAAATAACGAAGAGTCAACTGTCATTAGCCTTCCAGATATATTTGTTGTTTTAGAAGTCCTGTTCTAAGCAGGCCTCCATAGACTCCAGGATGGCCTGAAGATATGCATTTGAGGTCACTATGACTGAATTAACAGCTTCCCATGGCTCATAGCACTGGAACTGTTTGGAAAGTAGGAGATTGTTAAAAATACAGATTCCAGGGTGCCACCAAGACTCTACAGTAGATTCTGAACCAATTTGCAGAGAGCCACAGGGAAGCAGTTTAGGGAGGGGTCCCCAACTGTGGATTCTGTAGACTAAAGGTGGATGAAAGTTGGCAGACCCTCACAGTAAGGCATGTGTCCTTCTTTGACCTCCATGTGCACTTTTCCAAAGTGTGGCCTGGTTCTGTTTCTGGAATGTAGTCAGTACACAGAAATTTGCACCTTTGGAAAATACTGCTAAAAAAAATCAGGTTAAATACTGGTGGTGCCATTTGCGAATATTCACCCACAAAATAACACATTATAATGACAGCTTGTAAATGAAACTCAGCAAGAGTACATATAGTCTATATCTGACCTAAAAACATAATGTGGGATCAATTTTAATAGTAATTGTGGGAGAAACCATTGGCGACTGATAAGGAGTTGTAAGAGAGAAAACTCAGAGTTAAAAAGTCTCTAAGATGTAATATTTCTCTTGGAGGTAAGCCCTACAGCCACTAAAAAATGTGGAACAGATGGAAATTTCCAGCTCTAGGCCTAGATTAAACATCTCCCATTGTTAAGGGTAGAAAATTTTCAAGTGAGCCTACTAGCTAAGTCAGCTACAGGGAAGAAATATCTTTAGATACCAGAAGGTGTCCCACTTGTTTGTGTGTCGTTTAGAAAGTGTGTTGCATGAGATATGAAGATGGCCAACATCTGCTTCTGTAACTCATTTACTTGTTAATTAAGGGTGTCGTTCCGGGCAAAGATATGCTAACAGCCAACTTCACTTCTGTACTCTGCTTGCTTATTCAGGAGACCACCAGGATATGGTCTTAAGCTTTATCAGCTGCCTCCTCTGAAAGCTCGGGGCTGAACTCCTCTAGCCCTGCGTGGTAGAGAGTCGGTCGCCGGCCGGCTAATAAAGGCTCATAATTAATCTCAATTGGCTCCGTAGGTCTCAGAATTATTGGCGCCATAACACCATGAAAGTGTAAATCACCAAATGCCTTAAGAGACTTAAGGTGGTCCCAGGTGCACTGACAATAAAACGTGTCCACAACACCAGATTATTCTGGGGCTTAACGATTCAAGTAGGACCTTTCACACTCAGGCTGAGCAGTGGGAAATTTATGATTTTGGTATCTGGTTCATCCATCACTGGTGGGATTCATGTAAGCCTGCAAAGCTCAGACACCTGCCCCTAGGACACCACCCACTTCCTACAAAAGGAGATACGCCATGTGTCAACCCGGATTTTAAAGGGAGAAAGTCCTAGTTCTCAGGTTTTCGTTGGGTAGGTGTCACCAGGCTTGGGTTTGCATCGTGCTTTTATCACGGCAGGTAACATGCACACATAAGCATTAAAAAAGACCTGGGTGAGGATAGTGCGGTACTCCTTGTGACGGCCCTTGTTTCGTCACAATTACCCGACTGAGAACCAGGACACTGCAGGCGGCGCTTGCTCGAGCGCGCGCCACGCCCCTCCTATAGAAAGGCGCTCGCGTCCACAGACCTTCCGGAGTTCGTCCTAGCAGATACGGGTCTCCGTCCTCCGTCCAAAAAGGCCACTGGGGTGGTAGGATCGGCGTGTATGAACTCCTGCCGTGTCAGAACTTGGAGACCAGAAGCCAAGCGCCGCCACTCGCAATGAGCGCACTCCTGCGATCCAGTTTAAGCAGGTGGCGGCAGGCAGCCACCTTGGTGCTAGCGGCGGGTTGGACACACCCGGGCCTCGCCGCCCAGGCGCTGCCTCCACCGCCCGTCGAGGACTTCCGGGTGCTGCTACTGCAGCGCTCCGAGCAGCAACGTTTCCTACCCGGGGCTCACGTCTTTCCAGGCGGTGTACTGGACGCGGCAGATCGCTCGGCTGACTGGCTGCGCCTCTTCGCGCCCCATCACGGGCCGCCGTACTTCAACTTAGTCACCCGTCCGCGCCCACGCACTGACTTCCCAGTGCTGCCCGCAATGGAAACTGACGCCGCCGACGGGGACGACGCGGCGCTGCCGAATGACGTAGCCTTCCGCATCTGCGCCATCCGCGAGGCTTTCGAGGAGGCGGGCGTGTTGATTCTGCGGCCCCGGGCCTCACTGGCCGCCGCGCCGGAACTTGGCCGGGTCCTCCCACCGCCGCCCGACGTGACCGCCTGGCGCGCCCGCGTTCGCCGCGACCCACGCCACTTCCTGCACCTGTGTGAGCACCTCGACTGCACGCCCGACATCTGGGCGCTGCACGAGTGGAGTATCTGGCTCACGCCGTTCTCGCGATCTGGCAGCTACCGCTTCGACACGGCCTTCTTCCTGTGCTGCGTGCGCGAGCCGCCGCCCGTCGAACTAGAGTTGGCCGAGGTGGTGGGCTTCCAGGTAGGGCGTCCTCACGGCGCGGCCGGCGTCCGAGGCCCACGCAGAACCTCCGGATAAGGGCCATACAGCCAATAAGTGACTGAACGGGCATGGGACCTAGGCGGTCGGGTCCCCAGCCCTGCAGGCCAAAGCCAGAACCTTGGCGAAGTATTTTCCCCGGCTTCACAATCTCAAGGCCTCGACTCTGTCTCCCCAGGCGGCTCTCCGAGCAGGGCTGCTGGGACCTCCCAGGATCCGAGCAGAACTCGGATTAGGCGCCAGGCCCCTTTCCAAGCACTTTAAGTCATTTCATCCGACAGTAGTTTGCTTTTTCAGAGAACATATTTTATATGATTTCAGTGGGGTTTTTTTGTTTGTTTGTTTGTTTTTACATTTATTGAGGTATTTCGTGCCCACGGATATATTATAATTTGGTAACTGTACCCTTCGCACCCAAAAAGAATATTCTGTTTGGTGGAGTGTTTGTAAAAATGAAATGAGGTTAAATTCCTTGGTAGTATTTGTCAGGTCTTCTATTTTAGTTGTTCCATCAAATACTGTACTGAGAGGAATGCTTAAATCTTCAAATAATTGTGGATTTGTCTTTTTCTTTTCAATTCTATCAGGTTTTGCTTCATGTGTTTTGAAGCTCCTTTGTAAGGTGCTGTATAGACAGGACTGTTAAAGCTTTATGGATTGACCCTTTGATTATAATGAAATATTCTTCTTTATTCTAAAATTTGAAGTTTACTCATATTAATATAGTCACTCTACTTTTCATTTGATTTGCTGACACATAGTATATCCTCTTGCATCCTTTACTTTTAACCTTTTTGTCTTGATATTTAAAGTGTGTTTCTTATAGGCAGCGTATAGTCTTTATCTAAGATGACAATTTCTTCCTTTCATTTGGAGTGTTTAGATCATTTATATTTATGTCATTATCAATAAGATTAGATTAAAATCTACCATCTTACTGTTAGTTTTTTATTTGTTCCCGTCTGTTCTTTGCACTGTTTTTCTTTTCCTGACTTGGATTATTTGAGTATTTTTAGGTTCTGCTTTATCTCTATTATTGACTTATTAACTATACCTCTGTGGGTTTGCAGTATACATCTTTTGCTTCATGTATAGTGTTAGAACCTTATGACAGTATACTTAAGATTTCTCCTCTCCTGCCCTTTATGTTATTGTTGTCATACATTTGACTTTGTTATTATACACTCTCTAATACACTGATTATTTTTTGCCTTAAATAGTCAGTCTGCGTCTACTGCCATGCTACCCTGAACAAGCCCAATCCCGTCTGATCTCGGAAGCTAAGCAGGGTCGGGCCTGGTTAGTACTTGGATGGGAGACCACATGAGAAGACCAGGTGCTGAGGGCATGAAAAATAAAAAAATAAGAGATTGTAAGCTGACAAGGTCCTTGCAATCTGTGAGGTCAACCAAGGGTTGCCTCACCTAAAAAGTAAAATAAAAAAGTCAATCTGTTAAAGACTGAAAATGAGAGAAAAAATGTCTTTTATTTTACCTGCATATATGTCCTTTTCTGCTAATTACATCATTTCTGTAATTTTGTTTTTCTATTGACAGCTTTTTCTTCTAGGTATGGTTTACATTTTCCTGTTTTTGTTGTGGGTCTTGTGATTTTTGATTGGATGTTGGATATTGTGATTTTTAGTTGAGTACTAGATTTTGTCATATTCTTTTAAGACTTGTTGGACCTTTCCTGGCAGGAAGTTAAGTTGTTGCAAATGGATCCTTTTGAGGTTGATTTTTTAAGTGATTTTTGGGGTGGGTCTATGGTAGCCTTTATTCTAAGGCTAATACCTGCACTTCTAATGTATGACCCTTCTGGGGTCTACAATGCCCCTTATATTCAACAAGGTCTCTGCACCTGGGTTGGAGGGAATTTGAAAAGTTCTTGGCCTTAGATGAACTCCAGGACTATTAGTCTTAAGCTCCCAGGTAATTGTCCTTTTCTCAGGAATCATTGTTTTCCAGTGTCATGTGGTTTCACCTTATGCATGTGTAGATTAGTGTTTAGTGAAGAATCAAAGGCACCCTATACAGATTTCTGGAGTTCTACTCTGTGTAGATTCCCTCCTTTCAGGTACATTGCCTTCCAAATTCTAGCTTGTATGGGTTTTCCTAAACTCTGGTCCTTGTCTCTTCAAGTCAGTGAGAATCTTACATTTTGATTAGGTTCTCCCTTCTTGTGCCTTTGTCTGGGAATTACCTTTTGGCAGAAAGCTGGAAATTCTTGGAACTGAGTTCACCTCATTTGTTTTTCTTTTTTCACATACTACAATTCTACATTTTTCAATGTTCAAAAATGGTGGTTTTATAGGTTTTGTCACTTATCTGTTTTATGTTATGTTAGGGGAAGGTAATTATAGCACTTATGGTTGGAAGAGTAGGTTCCAAAAAGTAATTCTTAACCTGGTCTAGGTTAGCGGTTCTCAGCATGGGATTATTCACCCACCCCAACCCCTGGGTATATTTGGCAATGTCTGGAGACATTTTCGGTTGTCACAATTCGGGGACTTCTGGCTTCTACTAGAGCCCAGGTATGCTGTAAAACATCCTTTAGTACATAGGACAACTGCCCACAACAAAGAATTATCTGGCCTAAAGTGTCAATAGTGCTGAGGTTCTAAAACCTAGTGAAAACAGTGGGTTTTAAAAGCCAGTAGCCAGATTTTCTAGTTAGAATAGCTGCCTGAGTTTCTTCATCTGTAAAATGACAGTACGTGGAATTGTCCTAAGGATTGGAAATATTTTACATAAAGTAATTGAGCAATGCCTTATAGTAACAGGTAACCAATAAATAATAAGTTCGTTTAATCTATGGTTTAGACTAACCTGAACAGGTTGAATTAAGTGGGTCGATGGCTATTGTTTAACCCAGAACTCACAAAGAACTGACAAAGCAGAATGGCTAATAAATTACTTAAAGATTGGGTGGTCCTTTGAAGCCTGAGCTTTGTTTTCAAAATGCAGCCAACTTCAGAATAACCTGAGGTGCTTGTTAAACATTAGATTGCTGGCCACATAGGCTGAAGATTTAATAGGTTTCTTAGGGGATGTTTAAGCATATACAGCTTATAAACCTTTGGCCTGTAGCTATCCAAGGCAGAAATTGATTTCAACTCCTGGTTTAGGTGTGGGAATCAATTTTCCTCTAATAAACCAGTTAAAGAAAAAGGCCTTTTGGGATTATTCCGTAATTATTGAATCAGTTCTTTTTATCTAAATGTACATGGAAGGAATGCTTGGCAAGGAGGTTATGCCACAGCAGTGAGGTGACTTAAGTTAAATGGGCAAACACTGGCTGATTGCTACCCTGCTATTATTACACTGCTGGGACTGTAGACTGAGCTGTGCCTCTTAACCTTCCTGAAAGCTCCTACTGCTCCTGACTATTTCCCCACATTACAACATGTGGGGCACATCACGTTACATTTTGGTTGCTGAAGGCACCATAGGGCCTAAGAGCTTTGTCTTGTCCACAACCACATCTTCAGGGCCTACCCAGGGCACCTATTTGTGGGAGGAACAAATGGGCACTAAATTCTCAATCCGCTGCCATGAGGTTATACTTCAGAGTCTTCTTACCTTGCCTTCTCAGCATCTCTTGCCTTTTATGCTGAACGACTCTCACAGGTCAACCCTTAGTGACCTATCCTGGTTTATTTATTAGTTCCCAGGATCAATATCCCAATAATCAACCTCTTAACTGGGATCAACCGAGCTTTCTTCAGCAAACCTTTTCATGTTGTCTCAGTGGAATCTTAACAAGGTGCATCTATGAATTAATTTTACATCTTTAATTATATCTTAGGTACTGATCTAACGATCTCAAATGTTGCAGTGTCTATGGAAAAAAACCTTCAGGAACTCTACCTTTGTTTTCCACAGTGGTCATCTCCATCAGAGGCAATCAAAAGTTTCATGTCAGAAGAAATTTGGTTGATAGTCCCACAGTTCTATGAAATAAGAAGACTTGAAAACTTTGCCTCTCTCTCTGACTTGCACAGATTTTGTTTGGATCATGTGTTAGAAGAGGTGGAAAGATGGATGCCAATCACGTTAGTAAGTGCTGACGGACGCTGCCTCCTGCTTTTACCAGGTAAGTCAGTGAAGCATCAATGCTTTTGTTAGTATTCACATTTAATTCATGATAGTAGTATGGCAGTATTGCCCAACACAAAGACATGAATTACAGTCCATGTTTTAAACACTACAGTGGTTATTATTTAAATAAGATCAAAGTCTATAAAATATCCTTAGTATTTATTATAACCAGAAGTTCTGAATAAGTTACTTTATGTATACACATTTATGTGAACATATTTCCTAGACTGACAAAGTTCTGTCTCATATTATCTCACTTTTTTATATTTTAATTTTGAATTGTGAGAACTTGTAAACTGTCAGCTTATTTGAATTAGGGAGTTTGTTGGTGGTCAGTTGTTTTTGGGCAAGTATAGGGTGGAGGTTTTGTGGCAGTTTAGAGTGGGGTTTTGTGACCTTTGTTACTTCTCGCTACCTGTCTTAAGTCTCACAATAGTGATAATGTTTGTTACTCATCCTACAGTGGGATAATTTAGCAATTTTGGTGGATAAATGATGATTTCTCTAATTTAACCTTAAAATTATTAGAGCACCCCACATTGAAACACCAAAAATATATGGATATCAAAGCCACTGTTAATACTGCCTAGGATAAAGAGAGTCATGAACTATATAAAAGTTATAGTTTATGATGAAAAATACCAGTCATAAATTTATGTGCCCAAAGAAAATTCTTGGCTGGGGAACAGAGAGCTAAGGAGTATGAGAATTAAAAACACAAGAAAGAAATAGAGGTAAACTCATAAAATTAGGGTTATTTAAAAACTTTCTCGGTTCCAAACACATGAAATAGATTTAAAAAAAAATACTAATTTATATGTCATTAAAATATTGGAATGTTTTATAACTGTGGAATTAAAATATTATTTTTCAGGAGATGAGCTGTACTTAGAAGATTCATACTTTGTAGAAAATGTTATGTCCACTGAAAAAAGTTCTGAAGAACTCATGAAGGAAGGCAAGAAATTTCACCGAGTAGTGATACACAGTCGCCATGATTATAGTATCCATGTGACTGTTCAGTCAGAGTATAAACATGTTTATCCTAAGAACTGTGTAGTAAATAAGAGTCATTTGTAGCGTATTGCTTATTTATTTGTAAGCTGGCTACTTGAAATTGTCCTTATGAATAATGAGTGTTGACTAGACTTGGAAGTTAAGGAACTTGGTGCCTATAAAAATTATAGTATAGTCTTTCATATTTCAAGCATATTATGGAGCTCTCTTATTGTATTCTTTAATCCTTACGGTGTTACACAAGTATAAAATATTAATGATCTTACCAAAAGGAGAAAAGAATGTCAGAAGGATTTCCACTTCTGGATTGTTCTGGTATCAAAAGTTTAAGCTGTTCTACTGCCATTATCTTTTAAATGTCCAGTATGCTTTAAATGTTCCTTGATGTGCTTAGAGCAGTCCATGAATTTTTTAGACTTTCTGCTGGTGTTAATTTAAGGGTGTTTGAGTACATGGTGAACAGTAGACTGAGACAATCTTTAAGTGATAGTGTCACTTTCTTGTTATATCTTTAGCTTGATGATTAAGATCCAATTCTGTTTAAAACCAGTGACATTAGTTATTAGGTTTACCAAATTAGAAACATGTCTTAGTTAATATTTTAAAGGAATAAATGAAGCCATGACAAAAGCCAGAACTATTTTTCACTCTGGAACACTAGTTAATGAAACAGAGGTTAGAGAGATGTAGAATTATTCATCATTTAAAGGTGTTTAATAATGATGTTTGTTTCAGTATTTTTAATATGGGTAACTTTTTCACCTCTTAAAAGGAATAATGTTTATTGATTAAAGATGGGAAATGTTTAAGACACCAGTTGTATTTTAAATCTTTGATGATATAATGCATCGTATGATTGATTTCGTTTTTCATGACATGTCTTAGTTTTCCTACTTAAAAGATAGAGGTATATTGATGAATCAAGTTTATGTGTATTATTTGATCCTGATTAGAGGAATACATCTAGATCAGTGGTTCTCAACCTGGGACATGTTTGCCCTTCAGGAGACATTTGGCAATGTGTGGAAACATTTTTTGGTTGTTACAGCTGAGTGAGATGCTACTACCTAGTGGGGAGAGGCCAGGGATGCAGTTAAATATCCCACAATACATAGGACAGCTGCCTGCAACAATTATCTGGCTAGGGTTGAGAAACTCCGATCTAGAGTAAAATCTATTTTCTTCAGTAAATGATTCCAATATGTAAAATTTTAGAACCAGATACTGTTAGCATTCCATCTGGCTTCTGAATCTACAAAAGTTCTTATTGACTTTTGACCTTGGGCATAATAGTCTTTAATTCTTACAGAAAATGGAATGTTATGTAGCTGGAAGAGCTGCTGAGAAAACTAAGAAACAGATTCACATAGCTAGTTAGCACCACAGCCAGGAGTAGAATCCAGTTCTTCGTCAGTAAGTGACATCTGTTGCTTGTCACTAAAAGCAGATATCTGAATACTTCTGCTCACTGCATCTTGGTAGTATAGTCACCAGGGAAACCACAACAGAGACAAGCATTGGATAGAACAGTGCTTAACTCACATAGAGAAGAGACAGAGCAGGATCAACTTCAGTAGTGTACACTGGTCCACCATAGCCAGCAGGTCCCCTCCCTATAGCCAACACAAGACAGTTGGCCTGCACGCATCCCTTTTGTGCTGCAGTAGGAGGATCCCATCTGTTCCCTGCTGGGGACAGTAGTGGGATTGGCCAGGTGCCATATGACACACATGCTTAAGCAGAAGAGCACAGGAGCACAAAGAGTCTAAAACAGGGAAA